CTTCTGCTAGAACTCCTATGATGCAGATGTTGTTATGTTTCATATTGTCCCACAATTCTCTTAAACTGCCTTCCTGTTTTTCTTTTTGGTTCTCTGATTGGGTGATTTTTTTCTACTCTTTCTTCCAAATCATTGATCTGGTCCTTGGCCTCCTGTGCTCTGCTGGTTATTCCTTCCAATGTGTTCTTTATTTCTGCTGTCATTCTTTATTTTTGCTTGGTGGTTTTTCCTTTCCAGTTGGTTGATTTTCAATGTTTCTATATCTTTACTCATGCTGTTGAGCTTCCTCATACTCTACTCTGACCTCTGTCTCTGATATCTTGCTTAATTCCATTTCATTTATCTCATCTTCTGTAGAAATCTCTTTTTCTTTCATTTGGGATTTGTTTCTTTGTTTCACCATTTTGGCTGTCTCAGTGGGTTTTGGATCCTGCTAAATTTTCCCTGTGGGTGTTGGTATTCCACTGATTGTGGCTCTCTTTACTGGATTTTGATGAGTGTGGGAGGACCCATGTTAAATGCCACTGTCAAGCCTTGTTTTCCTGGATTGATTTGCAGGCCAACCAACGGTTAAGTTATCCTCTAGCTTTTGCCTGCAGACTATTAGTCTCAATTACTTGCTGAGCCTTGGGTTGTAGCCCTCAGCTGAATGAAAAAATCCTTCACGTGCACAGGGTATGAGGATTTCCAGTGAGTGGGTCTATTGCTTGCTGGCAGTCTCTAGCTGTTAATGAGCCTCATTTGAATTTCTCTGGCCTGGCGGTATTAAATTCCTGAGGGAGGGGTTGTTGTTTCTCCCTGAAGCTCTGGGAAGGGATTCTTTGAGTAATATGGCTACTCTCTTATGAAGGAGTGATTCAGCATAAAACTCCTGGTGTCCTTTCCTGAGCCAGGAGCCCCGGACTCTCTTCACACAGTTCCAATCCAGTTTGCCCTCCCTCTATGGGAGCCCAAGGTGAATGGCTGTAGCTGATTTAGTGCTCTGGCCCTTCAAGGAACTGACTGCTCACAGCTAAAACAACCCTTAGCTGCTGTCCTTGGGCTACCAGTCTGCCCTCTTGCGCCTCCGCAATTCCTACCAGGTTCAATTTGTTGTCCTCTTTCCATCCCTGGTTATAAGGGTTCTCTCCAGCTGATTTTCAGTTGTTTTTTTCCCAATAATGTGTCTTTATTTTAGTTGTAATTCCAGTTTGGTCCTGGGAGATCATCTGTGTAGCTTCCATTCACTCCACCGCCATTTTTCTCCTGTCTCCATTGATTTTAGATAGAGTAGAAGGGAGGAAGTGAGAGAGAGAGAGAGAAACGTCAACATGAGAGAGACACATTGATTGGCTGCCTCCTACATGACCCCAACCAGGGCTGGGGATTGAACCCAGGCATATGCCCTTGACTGGGAACTGAACCCATGACCCTTCAGTCCATGGGCCGACACTTGAACTGGTGAGCCAAACCAGCCATGGTGGCAGTGAAAATAATTTTAAAACCTTGAGCTTAAGCTGATGGGGGCACCCCATCTTACATACTCTTGTTTTGTCTCAAGTAAGCCACTGCCAAAGGGCTGGAGGATTCTAAAGAGCTGTCATCTCCCTTTGAAAGTCACCCAGTGTTTCTTGGAGATGGTCCTCTCACTGCAATCCTGAGGCCATTGTGGGACTGTTCATTCATCATCTCCTGACACCAGCCCTGTCTAAACCCTATGTATTGAGAAGTTTATCATCAGTTTCAGGAGTTCTTGACCATACGCACATAGGACTTCAGCTTTCAGCACATTCTTGGTTACCTCTTTCTGTTCAAAGAATATAAATTAATATTGAGGCCCACTTATTTCAGAAAAACTAAACAAAAAAAACATGGTTAGCAAAATCAGTCCTCCAGTTATATCTTAGAAATTTGTTGACACTTCTCTTAGAGTACCTATCCTTGTGCTATAATTGTAGGTTTGGTTTTCCTTTACCTCTCTCCTATTAACCTGTCATCCCCATGATAGCAAGTATAGTAACAAACTCGTTTTCTCATAGGTGTCTGTTCTGTGCCTTTCACAAAATAGATGCTCAGTAGATTGATAGTGAATTAAAATACTTTATATAATAATGAGATTTGGTTGTCTGCAATTCCATTCTTCTATTAATGTTTCCATGCCTATCTTTTAGATAGGTGATCAACCACCTTCAGAATTAAAGAATGAACTGGCTTATACTTTATAAATTAGCTAAACAAATAAAGGTCTGGACATCAGGGAACTTATGGTTTATTTATTTTTTTACCTTATCTTCATTGTTGAATGTATTACAGATGTCCCCTCCCCTTTTCTCCCCATTGACTCCCTCCTCCCCAATCCCACCCCCCTCCTGCCTTACCCACACTATTGTCTGTTACCATTGATAATGCATATATGCACAGAATTCTTTGGTTTATCCCATCCCGCCCTGCCTTCCCCCTTCCCTTTGAGGTTCATCAGTCTAACAACCAATTTGTACTTCTTAATTCCTTCATATTTTCCACCCATCCCCCAAACCCCCTCCCATCTGGCAATCAACAACAAGTTCTCTGTATCTATGAGTCTGTTTCTGTTCTGCTTACTTATTTGGTTTGTAGATTCAATTTTTGATAGATATGTATTAATTGGCATTTTATTGTTCATATTTTTGTTGTTCTCCTTCAAGAAGACCCCTCAACATTTCATATAATACAGGATTAGTGGTGATGAACTCCTTTCGATTTTTCTCGTCTGGGAAACTATATGTCCATTGATTCTAAATGATAGTTTTGCCGGATAGACTAATCTTGGTTGCAGGTCATTGCTTTTCATCACCTTGAATATTTCTTGCCACTCCCTTCTGGCCTGCAAAGTTTCTGTTGAGAAATCAGCTGACAGCCTTATGGGAGCTCCTTTGTAGGTAACTAACTGCTTTTCTCTTGCTGCTTTTAAGATTCTCTCTTTGTCTTTAACCTTTGGCATTTTGATGATGATGTGTCTTGGTGTGGACCTCTTTGGGTTTATCTGTTTGGGACTCTCTGTGCTTCCTGGACTTGTATGTCTGTTTCCTTCACCAAGTTAGGGAAGTTTTCTGCCCTTTGTTTCAAATAGGTTTTCAATTTTGTGCCCTCTCTCTTCTCCTTCTGGCATTCCCATGATGCAAATATTGGTACACTTGAAGTTGTCCCAGGGGCTCCTTACACTATCCTTATTTTTTTTTTTTTGGATTCTTTTTTCTGTTTGCTGTTCTGATTGGGTGTTTTCTGTTTCCTTATATTCCAAATCGATGGTATGCTTCTTGGCTTTACCTATTCTACTACTGATTCTGTGTAAATTATTCTTTATTTCAGTTAGTGCCTCCTTCATTTCTGACTGGTCCTTTTTTATGTTGTTGATGTTCTCACTAAGTGCCTTGAGCATCCTTATAACCAGTGTTTTGAACTCTGCATCTGATTGGTTGCGTATCTCCTTTTTGTTTAGTTCTCTTCCTGGAGTTTTGTTCTTTTCTTTCATTTGGGACATGTTTCTTCGTCTCTTCATTTTGGCTGATTTCCTGTGTTTGTTTCCATGTATTAGGAAGAGTTGCTCTGTATCCTAGGCTTCCTGGGGTGACCTGTTGTAGTAGGTGTCCTGTAGGGTCCAGTGCCACAATCTCTCTGATGGCCCCAGCTGTACCCTTGAGGTGCACCCCTAGTGTGGACTGTATACCTTCTGTTGTAGCTGAGTTTTGATTGCTGTTGGCATGTCAATGGCAGGGACTTACTCAGGCTGATCAGCTGTAAGGACTGCTTGTGCCCACTGACCACTGGCCTCTGACTACCTTGGATGATCAGCTGTGTAGGGGCCCACCACACAGAGCAAGACTTACTTCAGCAGGGTTCTGGTACCCACTGAGTTCATTCACTGAGTGTGTCACTTGTATACATGGTTGGGTGGTGATGCTTTGATATGGCCTAAAGCTATCCACTGGGTGTGCTGGCTCTGGGGCAAAGTCAGCCACTGCCTGTGTTCTACCCAGGGCCACCAGGCATAAGCTACCAAGTGATCTGCAGATGGCTGCTGCTTGTGCTGGGCTTGGAGGTGCCCAGGCAATGCCAAGTTGTGAACCAAGGCTGGCTGCTTCTAGGGCCAGGCCTGGGGCCACTTAGCAAGAGGTATGGGGCTTGCTGAGACTAGATGCTGCTTGTTTGAGAGATTTTAGGAAACTCTGAAGCAGGATCCAAGACAGGCCAATCCTATGGTAAAGCCATTGGAAGCAGCTTGGGTGGGCCTGAAAGTCGGGTGGAGCAGGGCCTCAGGTGAATCACCAAGGCAGGGCAACAAGGTGTGAGCCAGGTTGCTGGAGTCCCAATATATGGTGCCTGTCTGCTGGCCCCGTTGGAGAAGGGCTCCACTAGAATGTCTGTCTGGGAGAAAGCTGCCCCTCTAGCTCTTGCCCCGATGCCAAACAAGTCAGTTCTTCACTGTATGTCTCTGGCGCCTTTCAAGCTGCCTCTCCCATGCCAGAGCCTGGAGGGTGAAAGTCTGATTAAGTCCATGCATGGGCCCTGTAAGAAGAACTGCCTGGGGCTCCAGCAGCCTCAGGCTCCAGCAGCCTCTGGCTCCAGCAGCCTCAGCCTCTCTCAGCCTCAGTTCCCGCTGGTTTTTCCGGCTTGAAGTTATGGGGACTTCTCTTCCTGGCACTGGAACCCTGAGCAGTGTGGCTCAGTTAGTTGGAGTATTGTCCCATATACCGAAAGGTCATGGGTTTGATTCCCGATCAGGGCACATACCCAGGTTGCAGGTTCATTCCCCGGTCAGGTTGTGTATGGAAGGCAGCCAGTCAGTGTTTCTCTCTCATATTGATGTTTCTTTCTCTCTCTCTCCCTTTACCTCCCTCCCTTCCTCTCTCTCTGAAATCAATAAAAACATAACATATCCTTGGGTGAGGATTTTTTTAAAAAGAGAGAAGGTATACTGTTGAGAAAGAAATGTATTTTTTATAAATTTATTTTTATTGCTACTTCTTGAATTATATATCCAGAGTAAAGACTAAGTGCCTTTTCATCCAAATGGAATTATGTGATAAAGGAACATTGGAAGGCTGGATCGACAGCAGAAGAGGCAAGAGTCCAAACAAATATCCATCTTTGGAATTATTTGAGCAAATAGCCATAGGAGTGGATTACATACATTCAAAACAGTTAATTCATAGAGACCTTAAGGTAAGTGGAAAGTTGGCTTTGTTAGGAAATGGTAAATATAATTTAATAATTTAAAAATATATCTTCTCCAGTTTTAGAATTATTTGACAGCCATGAAGGAATAATATTTCTGATCCTCTAAAGTTACAACGGATCTAGATCTTGTACCATATAATTCCCTAGAGCCAGTCAGAAGATCTCTAGGTCCAGTGAACTTGTCAAGACACTGAGTTCTGCGGGAAGGAGCTCATTCAGCTCGGGTGCTGTCTGGCTGATAGTCATACTCCAGTTGTAAACACTAGGAGCTTTAGCATACTGAACATTCCCATGCAAATAATTACAATGGCTGGCACAGCCAGCTGGCTGCCCTGTCTCTGCCTCTACTGCCACTCAAGCTTGCCTGAGAGGCATACGGGAGTCTAGTGACTATGGCTTTGGGAACACTGGTTCTCCTGCTCTCTCAGCCATGACTCATGAGGGTAGTCACAAATACTAGGTCCAGAGCCTAGAATTTTCTTGGTATTTGGACACTTCTGCCCCATGTTTGGAAAATTGCAATTATCCTATCCTTGGAACAAGTAGCAAACCTTTGTATTTTCATTTCTTCTGTCTTCCTAGCATCCCACATGGTCTAGACGAACAGTTTTCCCATTTTTCTTCTCATCAAAATGGAAGAAGAGAGACAGAACAGCTTTTCAGTCTCCCCTCCATACTCTGTGCCCTGTGATTTGCCTACTGTCATCACAAACTAGCCATGCTGAATCCTGTCCCTGAACCATTGTTCATATTCTCGAGTGTGACACTCTTCTGCTTGTCCCCTTTGTCCCAGGCCCTTTATGTAGCCTTTCCAGATCACCCGGCATCAGGCAGGAGTGCCTTATTTATATGGGTTGTGGCTATCTGCTTAGCCCACTTACCTAAAACACCAAGGAATGAAGCAAAAATTCCCTGAGTAAAAGAAGCACTTCCTTAGATAGTTGTTTGTTGGGCCTTCGAGGGAACAAGTGGCCCTTAAGCGTTATGGCATCATTTGTCTGCCCAGGGGATGGATGTCTGATGCCTTCATGTTGGGGTCCGCCTGGCTTCAGTGTCTCTCTAACAATATCTGAGGGTGTTCTTTGAAGTTGGAACATAATAAGGACTATGTTTAAAAAGATACATTTTGGATGGCTGTACCTTTACTTTGGAATAAACCACACATAGAGTTAAATGAGAAATTAAGCACAATCATCTGTTTATACAGTGATTTTTAAGAAAATACAGAAGTTTGGACATTAGCTCTCATACCTTCCTCAGGGTGAACTAGTACAATTCTGACTAGTATAGTGGAGTCTGCCTTCTACATCTGTCCTGTGTCCTGCACCGCCCGGGCCCCATCCTCTCTTGTGTGTTTGCAGAGACTGTGTGCTCTATTTCTGCAGTTACGCAAAGGGTCAGGCTTGAATACTACTGAGCCTTCTTTCATCTTCTACAGTTGCCGCCGTGTCGCATGTGAGATAGGGTGCGAAGGGAGGCGTGCCTTTTTTCTTTGTGGAGAGGAAAGCCTCGCAAAATACCAGCTGCAGGTTGCTTTGCCGGAGAACAGTCTTTACCCAGTAAAGTCCCTCTTATATGAAGTCTACTAGTATTTACCACTTTCTGTCGGAATCTTAGGAACTAGACTAAAAGCACTGGGGGAGGGACATAGAAGTTTCTGGAGTGAGGGCTTAAGGTCCTTAGAGGTTCAGTCCAGTCCCCTTAGGCCCAGACTCTTTGGTCATCCTCAGCCAGAGCATCAGCCCTTATGCCTGTACCTTCTGTATAAAACTGGCACCCTTTTTTATGCTTTACAAGCCAACATTTTGCCAAATCACACTGTAACTGATTAGACTAAATGTGGCATTATTGTTTTTCGTTTTTCTCCTTAATGAACAATAAACATGTGATCTGATATTTTTACTGCACAGTCCGATCCGGCTTACATGTTTACACAGCATCGTAAATGTAATGTGCTGTTCCTCAGAGTCAGGTTATAGCCTTGTGTGGGACTAGCAGTCACACTTGCAAACTCAATATATTTCGCGTTGTAACTTGAATTAGCATTGGTACTTTTTCTCTCCACACCCACCCCACACGCATGTACAGCTTTCTGTCTGTATCCTTGGTGTCAGGTTCCAATCTCACTGTTCATTGTTCCAATCCAACTGCTAATTTCCGTGTGGGCTTTTTCGGGCTGGCTTCTCAGAAGCTCCCTTTCAGCGGCCCTGGGCTGCTGTCTCTTCCCTCTCAGTTCCTTTACCAGGCCCTCCCCTAAGTGCTGGCTCATGAGGTCTGTGTGTGAATGTAAAGCCCAACATTGTATTGATAGTCTAGCCTCTTCAACAAAGGCAAAATATTAATTTCCTCCTCAATAACCATCTGGTTTCATAGTCTTTAGAATATTGGTCAGTACCTTACAAATTTGTGGAATAGGATGAACACCCCTCATTCTGTTCTTCCTTTTCTTTTTTCAATCTGCTCAACAAATTACGTGGAAAAAAATACTTCAGTGCTAGTTGTCAGTTTCCAGTTAACTTGGTATAACTTCAAGGATAGAGGGGGTGTGTTTCTGAAGAAGGAGTCGGAGACCTGGAGACACTGAATTCAAGGAAACCCCCAGGAGATGTTCTGTATAAGCTATCCTGCAGCATAACTGGGCAGAGACCCATTCTGAGAATCTCAAAGTTGGAAGGGATCTTAAGGGCACCTACTTCAATCCCCACTGAATTCTGAACTCATATTTGCAGCATTTCTACCAAGTGGACATCCAGTTCTGTCTTGAATGCTTCCTGGGATAGGGAACTCTTGAACTCCCATTCTTTGAACCATACCTACTTTATTTATTTATTTTTATCCTTACCCAAGGACACTTTTTCATTCTTTGTTCAGATAGAGCAGGAGGGAGAGAGAGAGAGAGAAACATCGATGTGAAAGGGACACATCGAGTGGCTGCCACCTGCACGACCAACCAGGGCCGCGGACAAACTGCAACGGAGGTACATGCCCTTAGCGGGAACTGAACCCGGGTCTCTCCGGACCGCAGGCCGACGCTTTAACCGCTGAGCCAAACCGGCCAGGGCATGAACCATACCTACTTAAAACCATACTAATATTAAACTATATTAGGTTGCACTGTTAGTATATTTAGGTTACATAAAAGCAAATCTTTTGGTCGTTTTCACCCTCTAGTCCTGGATTTATCCATGAGACCATGCAGAGTGAATCCACCTTTCACTTAACAGCTCTTCAGATATTTTAGGCAGCTCTGCCACAAGCCTTCTCTGCTGACATCCTCAGCTGGCATTTTAAAGACCTGTGATGTTAAAACTTCTACCTGGGCTTCCTGTATAAGGGGACCTATCTTATCCAAGGGTGGGCAGAAGTAGGTTTACAGTTGTGGTTACGCATATTATTATTTATTACTGTATTATTTTCCATATGAACAATTGTAACCCTACTTTTCCCATCCCTTAAGTAAATATAAAAATAGCCATTGCTAAATATGATTTGGGTATATAATGCCAGTCTGTCAAATTGATACTTATAAATTAAATGTTTTGTTTTTTTTTCCTTTTCCTGTAGCCAAGTAACATATTTTTAGTAGATACAAAACAAATAAAGATTGGAGACTTTGGACTTGTAACATTCCAGGAATATTCTAGAACGCGGTCAAGTGGTCAGGGAACACCATTATACATGAGCCCAGAACAGGTGAGGTCTCTTTCTTTTCTATCTCTAATTTTTAATTTATTTTTTCTTTTTATTTTATGTTATTTTTTTTAATCCTCACCCAAGGACACTTTTCCATTTTTGTTGAAATAGAGTGGGAGGGAGAGAGAGAGAAACATTGACGTGAAAGGGACACATCAAGTGCCTGCCTCCCGCACGACCCCAACCAGGTTCGAGGACAAACTGCAATCGAGGTATGTGCCCTTAGCGAGACCCGAATCTGGGTCTCTCTGGACAGCGGGTCAACACTCTAACCACTAAGCAAAACTGGCCAGGGCTTTTTTTTTATTTCAAAGAAAATATAAAAATAATAGACACCTTTGATAAAATTAAAACAGTACAGAATTATATAGAATAAGAATGCAAAACTCCCCTTAACCTTCCTTTTTACTTTTACTCTGCTAACTACAGTTTGTTGTTTATCCTTTTAGATCATTTTCTATGAGTTACAAAAATATACAAACAGCCCTGGGTGGTTTTGCTCAGTGGGTAGAGCATCGGCCTGCCAACTGAGGTGTAGATTCGGGTTCCGGTCAAGGGCATATACATGGGTTGCAGAGGCAACCAATCAATATGTGTCTTTCTCACATTGATGTTTTCTCTCTTTCTCTCTCCCCCTCTCTCCCTTCCACTCTAAAACTCAATGGAAAAATATCCTCGGGTGAGGATTAAAAAAGTTATAATGATAAATATGTATACAAACACATATATATATGATGAATGAGGAGTATCTTGCTTTTTTAGTTTGCATTTCCCAGAATTTTAATAAGGTAGACCATCTTTCCATGTGTTTCCTTATAATTATTCTGCAAATTCTCTATTCATCTTTTCTCAGTTTTCTTACATAGGTTAGCTTTTTCTAACTCATTTGTATTTTTTATGTATTTTAGATATTGATGCCATATCAACTATCTTAATATCCTTGATTATTACTTATTATTTATTTGTTTATAATATGATATAGAAGCTTTTTTTTTAATCCTCACCCGAGGATATTTTTCCATTTTTTGTACAGATAGAGTGGGAGGGAGAGAGAGGAAGGGAGAGAGAGAGAGAAACATCGACTTGAAGGGACACATCGAGTGGCTGCCACCCGCACGACCAACCAGGGCCGGGGACAAACTGCAACCGAAGTACGTGCCCTTAGCGGGAACCGAACCCGGGTCTCTCCGGACCGCAGGCTGACGCTCTAACCGCTGAGCCAAACTGGCCAGGGCGATATAGAAGCTTTTAAGTGTTACATTTATCAACATTTTCTTTGTGACTGCTATATTTCTCATTTTTTACTTTGGAAGTAATTTCTACCAGAAAACTAAAAATATTTTGCATTACTTTAGTCTAACTTGAATTAATTTTTGTATACATAAGAGAAAGGGATATAACTTGATTTTCCCCATATGGATATGCAATTGTCTCATCACTATGTATTAAATAGTTCATGGTTTAAAATATTATTTTAAGGAAAATTTATAGAGACCAAAAGTAGAACAGAGGTTACCAGGGCTGGGGGAGGGAGGAATGGGAAGTTATTTTTAAATGGGTACAGAGTCTGTTTGGGATGATGAAAAACTTCTAGAAATAGGTAGTGGTGATGGTTACACAACATTGTAAAGGTACTTAATGCCACTGAATTGTACAAATAAAAATGGTTAAAATGGTAAATGTTATGATATATCTATATCTATCTATCTATCTATCTATCTATCTATCTATCTATCTATACAGTAAAATTCTATTTTATCATACATGAAATGCCCACACACTCATGGATCTGTTTCTGGACTCTATTCTGTCCAGTTGATATATTTTTTTCTTTTTAGTATTATTCTGTTTCCATTGTAGCATTATAAAATAGGTTTTAGTATTTGGACAGCAGGATCTCCCACACTATTCTTCCATTTTAAAGTGTTCTTAGTGTTCACATTCACTATTCATAAAAACTGTAGAATCAGCTCGTCATGTTTCATAACTGGTGTTGAGGTTTGATAGCAGTTGCATTAAATTTAAGGAATTCAGTAGAGGAGGATTGACATCTTTATATATTTGAAACTTCTCCAGGAAATTGGTGTATTTCTCCCACTTATTTAAGTCCTCTATCAGTCAGCTTTTGCCAGGTTGTGCTATGGTAAGAAACGACCCCTGATTTCCTGGTGGTGCCCACAACACCAAAGCTTATTTCTTGCTCACATAACGTATCTGCTGCAGTCTGGCTGCAGTTTTGCCCCACACATCTTCATTCCAGAATGCAGGCTGAAGAAAGACCCCTAACTGAGTATTGCTATCCTCACTGCAAAAGGTAATGCCAGACCAAACCTTGTGATAGCTTTTAAGGTTCCGCTCAGCAGTGGTACACATCACTAACATCATTGCCCAGAGCCAAGTGTCATGGCCCAGCTGAAGGCCAAGAGAGTAGAGAGGTGTCATGCTCTCATTGGGATGCCAGTGCACAATTGGGAGCAATAATACAATCTACCTCAAGGTCACTTTTATATTCTTCAGGGAAGTTTTAAAGTATTTCTTTCTCTGTGAAAATTGCTCATATTTTAAAGCTTTTCCCTGAATATGTATGGTGTTTTGCCATTAAAATGGGACTCCTTTTATCTAATTGGTTTTTAGTGAGGCTATTGATTTTTAAAATATATTTTTAATTGTGGTGAAATACACATAACCAAAACTGACCATCTTCACTTTCTTTTTTTTTTTTTTATCCTCACCCAAGGACACTTTTCCATTTTTTGTTCAGGTAGAGTGGGAGGGAGAGAGAGGAACAGAGAGAGAGAGAGAGAAACATCGATGCGAAAGGGACACATCGAGTGGCTGCCACCCGCACAACCGACCAGGGCCGGGGACAAACTGCAACCGAGGTACGTGCCCTTAGAGGGAACCGAACCCGGGTCTCTCAGGACCGCAGGCCGACGCTCTAACCGCTGAGCCAAACCGGCCAGGGCCGTCTTCACTTTCTTAAGTGTATAGTTCAGTGGATTAAGTACATACATGTTGTGCTACCATCACCACCATCCATTTCATCCATTCACAGAACTCTTCATCTTGCAAAACTGAAACTCTGGGACCCACTGAATAGCTCCTCATTCCCTTCTCCCTCTAGCTCTTGGCAACCACCATTCTATTTTCTCTCTCTATAAATCTGACTGCTCTAAGAACCTCCCAAGTGCAATAATAGAGTATATGTCCTTTTGTGACTGGCTTATTTCACTCAGCATAATGACCTCAGGATTCATCCATATGTTGTGACACATGTCCAAATTTCTTTCCTTTTTAAGGCGGCATAATATTTCTTTAAAAAAATGTTTGTCTTTATTGATTTTTAGAGAGGGAAAGAGAGATAGAAACATCAATGAGAGAGAACATCAGTTGACCACTTCCTGCATGCCCCACACTGGGAATTTGGCCCATAACCTGGGCATGTGCCCTGCTTGATCAGGAATTGAACTGGTGACCTCTTGGTGCATGGGTTGACGCTCAACCACTGAGCCACACCGGCCAGGTTAATATTTCTTTTTCTTTGTTTTTAAAATATGATTTTATTGATATTTTAGAGAGAGAAGAAGGGAGAGAAAGATAGAAACATCGATGTTAGAGAGAGACATCAATTAGCTGCCTCCTGCATGCCCCCTACTGGAGCCTGCAATTTGGGATTGTACCCTGACCAGGGATTGAACCGGTACCTCTCAGTCTATGGGATGATGCTCAGTCCACTGAGCCACATCAGCTGGGCATCTGCATAATATTTCATTGTATGAATGGACCACATTTTTTTTAAATACTCACCTGAGGATATTTTCTATTTATCTTTAGACAGAGTGGGAAGGAGGGAGAGAGAGAGAGAAACATTGATGTGAGAGGGACACATTGAGTGGTTGCCTCCCACGTGACCCTGACCAGGACCAAGGATGAACCACAACCAAGGTACATGCCCTTGATTGGAATCGAACCTGCAACTCGTTGGTCCGTGGGCCGACGCTCTTACTACTGAGTCAAACCGGCCAGGGCTGAATGGACCACATTTTGTTTATTCATCCGTGGCTGGATATTTGGGTTGCTTTTACCTTTGGCTATTGCAAATAATGCTTCTATGAACATGATTGTCGTTATTGATTTGTGAATGTTTGGCTTACTTATAGGTTCATTAATAGTTTTTGGTTGATTACTTATTATCTCTTTTTGGGTTGTTCATCCTGTTTTTCTTTTTGACTTATAAATGCCCTTTAATGATAATTTTACTGAAAATGTATCTTTCAAAATGCCTCCATTATTTTGTCATCCAAGAATAAATATACTGAGTAATCTGTTTGAGAGTCTAGAATGGAGAAGGAGCACATCTCTTCCCTCTGGGGACCATTTGGCATAATAACACCATTTGGCTTTTTGTGGAGTGTGAAAGTAGAAGACAGTAAGAGGCTAATTGACTCCCTTTTAACTCCATCTATTGAATATCTCCTGTATCCTATAATGTCACCCTCAGAATATTTTTCAAATCATTCATCATTGTGCTTTTTGTTTTCTTAGTGATTTTTAAATTTTAAAACATTGTATTGAGGAATAATTAACATAGCATAAAATGCACAGATCTTAAACGTACATTTCTTAGTTTTGACAAAAGCATATACCTGTGAAGCCACAAGCTGATGAAGGTGTAGAATATTTTCCTCACCCAGGAACATTCCCTCAGGCTCCTTTCCAGTCAGTCCCCCTCCCCACTGTCCAGAGGCAGCCAGTGTTCTGATTTCTGTCACCATTGATTAGTTCTCCCTGCTCTTGAGCTTCATAGGAATGGAATCATACAGTATGTACTCTTTCCCATTTGATTATTTCCCTCAAAGTATTGTCTGTTGGAGATCCTCTAATTGTTGCTTGTACTAGCCGATTATTACCTTTTATTGCTGAGTGCTGTTCCATAGTAGAAATACAGGCATACCTCACAGATATTGCGGGTCAGTGCCAACCATTGCAATAAAGCAAGTACCGCAATAAAACAAGTCACGTTTTTTGTTTGTTTGTTTCCCAGTGCATATACAAGTTGTTTATACTGTAGCTTACCCAGTGTGCAATAGCACTATGTCTAAAAAATTTATACTACCTTTATTAAAAATGCATCATTGCTAAAAATGGTAACCATCATTGGAGCCTTCAGCAAGTTGTAATCTTTTTGCCGGTAGAGGGTCTTGCCTTGATGTTGATGGCTGCCGACTGATCAGGGTGTTGATTGCTGACATCTGGGCTGGCCGTGGCAATTTCTTAAAATAAAGCAACAATGAAGTTTGCTGCATTGATTAACTTTTCCTTTCACAAATGATTTCTTTGTAGCATGTGAGGCTGTTTGATAGCACTTTACTCTTGTAGAACTTCCAAAATGGGAGTCAGTTCTTTCAAACCCTGCCACTGCTGTATCCACTAAGTTAATGTAACATTCTAATACTTGGTGAGGCAATAATAGGTGAGAGAAAAGAAAAGAAACCGAAAGACAGTATTCTCTAAATAAATGGAAACTTATTAGCCTTTTGGTAAAACAGTATCATAGCTACCCCACATCACAACAAAGTGTTTCTGAATAGATTTCTAATCTAAATTTTAAAAATTCAATAAAGCGAAGTGCAATAAAACGAGGTATGCCTAGATACCACAGTTTGTTTATCCATTCCCCTGCTGATGGACATCTGGATTGCTTCCTGTAATAGAATATTATGAATAAATCTTCTATGAACATTTGCATACATCAAGGCAAGAACCTCCACCAGCAAAAAGATGACAACTCACTGAAGGCTCAGATAATGGTTACTGTTTTTTAGCAATAATGCATTTTTAATTAAGGTTGTACACTGGTTTATTATTATTATTTATGTATTTATGTATGTCTTTATTTTTGATTTTCAGAGAGAGGGAATGGGAGAGGGAGAAAAAGAAATGTTGAAGTGAAAGTGGAACATTGATCGGCTGCCTCCTGCACACACCCTTTGGGGGATTGAGCCCATAACCCAGGCATGTGCTCTGAGAATTAAACAAGCAACCTTTTGGTGCATGGGATGACGGCCCAATGAAGTGAGCCACACCAGACCAGCCAGGGCTTTTAAAAAATTATTTATACTTATTTTTTTTTTTTTTTTAGACATAATGCTCTTGCACAGTGGATAGACTACAGTATAGTATAAAAAACTTATATATGCACTGGGAAACCCAAAAATTCATATGACTTGCTTTATTGTGAAACTCGTTTTATTGTGATGGTTGGACCTATTTTAATTGTATCAGCTGACACATCTCATTTAACCCTACAGTCAAACTCTGAAGTTGAAACTATTGTTATCCCCATTTTATGTTTGAGATTGTTCCAATGTTGATGGTTAATTTACACAGGTAATTCAGCTACTTAGTGACAGAGAACTTGGGTAGATGCCAGAGATCTTGCTAACAAATATACACAGTTTTATAAGATATTTTGGTCAATGCCTGTCTAGTGTGGCTTAGTGGATTGGGCATTGTCCCATGGACTGAGAGGTCTGAAGGGGTCCTGGTTCGATTCCCGGTCAGGGCACATGCCTGGGTTGGCTTGATCCCTAGTAGGGCATATGCAGGAGACAGCAATTGATGTTTCTCTCTCACATCGATATTTCTTTCTCTTCCTTCCTCTCTAAAAAATCAACAAAACATATATTTTTTAAAAAGATATTTTGGCCTGGCTAGTGTGGCTCAGTGGTTGAACATTGACCAAGAGGTCGCCAGTTCAATTCCTGGTCAGGGCACATGCCCAGAGGTTGTGGGCCAAATCCCCAGTAGAGGGCATGCAGGAGGCGGCCAATCCATGTTCTCTCTCATCAGTGTTTCTCTCTCTCTCTCTCCCTCTCCCTTTCCTCTCTGTCTAAAAACCAGTAAAGAAAAATAAATAAATAAGATATTTAGATCAAATACTTTTTTGGCTTTAGAAGACATAGATGTTTGTATCAGGTGAATAACAAATGTAAATGTATTTTGGTCTCTTTAGGTCTCTTCAGCAGAATATGGGAATGAAGTGGACATCTTTGCTTTAGGCCTAATTCTTGCAGAGCTTCTGTACATATGTCCCACGCGTTTCGAAACAATGACGGTAAATAATCTCACGGGAAAAATTTAGCAACAAAAATTATTGGCCATCGTCTTCAGAGTGCTGCCGCAGACAGTTATCATCCTTATGTAAGGATAGGCCTGAACGTATTACTGACTTCCAATGATATATGGCTTTTATCTCTCATGTTTGGGCAATCAGAACTTTTTGTTAAAAGTTCTAGTCAAGATGACAGAGTAGGTAAACACTGTGCTCACTTCCTCCCACCACTACATCAAAATTCTAGGACCACCACCCTTGAAAACCACCTGAGAATTAGCTGAACAGAACTTCTGTAACTAAGGATACAAAGGAAAAGCTGTGTCAAGACTAAATATTGAATGTTATCTGTAATTGAAAAATTAAAACAAAGAAACAATTTATTTTTATCCTCACCCGAGGACATTTTTCCATTTTTTGTTCAGATAGAGTGGGAGGGAGAGAGAGGAAGAGAGAGAGAGAAACATTGACGTGAAAGGGACACATCGAGTGGCTACCACCCACACGACCAACCAGGGCCGGGGACAAACTGCAACCGAGGTACATGCCCTTAGAGGGAACTGAACCCGGGTCTCTCTGGACCGCAGGCTGACGCTCTAACCGCTGAGCAAAACCGGCCAGGGCAAGAAACAATTTTTTTAAAACCCTTTTTATTAAAGACCAAAAACTTAGTTGTTGTTTTTTAAGGTATGTGCATCTCATAAAACCAAAGTTGTTTATTCCTGTTTGAATCAGTCAGTAAAATTTCGAGTGCCTTCTTGTTTGACATAAGACACCGTGCTAACTGCTACAAGGAATATAAAAATGAATAAGCCTTGTTCTCCAGGAGCATATTTCTAGAAGGGAAGGTATAAGAGAATGCTATACATGTTGGAGATGACATGAGGTCTTCAGAAGCAGCTAGGGGGAAATCTTCCAGCTAGGAAGGATTTAGGGTTCGTGGAGGCACTGAAGTGGGGCTCTGAAGGACTGGGTGGCTTCTAATAGTACAAAATAGAAAGAAGATGATTCCAGCTTGGAGACAGGAATGTGCAGAGTATGTATGGGGATATTTACATAGTCTGGTATTTTTATTGGTGTATATAGGTTACAAAGAAGTGGTGGTTGATAGAGTTGGAAAGACATGTTGGGGCTAAATTAAGGCAAGAATGTGGACTTTCTTGGGAAGGCAGTGGGGAGCCACGACATGCATTAGGCAACTGGATGGCCTCGTCTGAAGCTCAGTAGAGATGACACACCTAGAGTCATCAACCTTCTCCTCTGTAAAACAGGGGAAATGAAACTACCTATCATAGGGTTCCAAAAGGGTGAAGGGAAATAAAGCAAAAGATGTTCTTAACACTTCAACATGTTGTGATGTCAAAGATGGTTATTAGATAGGGCAGGGTGGGGGAGGGGAGTCCTGCTAGCTTCTTGGCTAAAGAGACTTTCCAGAGACCTGAAAATATTCTAGATTTAGGATATCCCCAGCCTTTAGTACTTCCTAAGTTTGTTTTTCCTCTCAAGTGAATAACTTCCTAATGAATATACATATGTGTGTGTGTTTTATTTTCAGATTTTCAAAGCTCTACGGGATGGCCATATCCCAGATATATATGATGACAAAGAAGTAAGCACTTGAAAATAATCAGAATTTTATTTTATTTTAATGTTTTATTTCTTCATAATGACTCTTTGTATCATTACAGAAAATTCTTCTACAGCAATTAGTCTCAAAGGAACCCAGGAAACGCCCTAAAACAGGTCAAATATTGAAGACTCTGAATGAGTGGAAGAATGCTCCAAAGAGACCAATGAGATGCACGTGGTAGCGCCTTTCTAAGAAAGTAATCTGCTTCTGATGCTCCATTTTCCTGTAACTGGCAAAACTCTGTTCGGAGTATCAGTGGTGTTTACCTGTTATTTTCATTTTTCCCTTAATTTTTAAAAATCCTCACCTACGGATATGTTTTATTGATTTTAGAGAGAGAAGAAGGGGGAGAGAAAGAGAAACATCAATGTGAGAGAGAAACATCAGTCGGTTGCCTCTCATACGTGCCCTGACCAGGATCGCACCCACAGCCTTTTGGTGTACAGGACAACGCTCCAACCAAGCCACCCAGCAAGGCTTCCCTAAATATTTTTTTACTACATTTGCAAAAGGTTGGCACTTTTTCTAAAATTTTTTTTTCCTTTATTGATTTTGAGAGAGAAAGGGAGAAACATCGATGAGAGAGAACATTGCATGCCGCCTCCTGCATGCCCCCCACTGGGATCTGGCCCACAACCTGGGCACGTGCCCTGCCTGGCAGTCAAACCGGTGACCTCTTGGTACATGGGCCAATGCTCACAAACACTGAGACACAGCGTCCAGGTGAAAGGTTTGCACTTTTTAACTTCAAAAACATCTTTACATTTGACTTATTCGCAGCCCATCTTTGTATTATGAAGATTAAAACATTCCTCAATTTTTATATTAATGAGTCAATTAATAAATATTTAATAAATGTCCACTGTTTCCAGTCCAGTGGTTACCATAAAAGGGTGAGTTATGTACAGTCACTTTGGAAAGCAATTCGGTATCCTTAGTAAATGTAAATATGTGTGTACCAGAAAGCCAACACTTCCATTCCTACACACACGCCTGTGAGAATGTTCCGAGAACTCGTTTGTAAAAGTCAAAGGAACAGAAAACAACACTACTGTCCATCAGGAGACAAGTGGATGCATACACTTGTATTATGTTCACTTTAGAATACTAGAGAGCAGTGAAAATGAATGAATTATAGATAAATGTAATAACATGATAGATCCATCTCAGGATATATATAGAATGATTCCATTTATATAAAGTTCCAGAACATGCTAAATGAAATCATTTTGTTTATGAATCCAAACAAATGGGATAAAACAATAAAGGGAAGGGAATGTACGAGAAATATTAAATTCTGATAGTGGTTGTCTCTGAGGAAGGACGGGAGTGATGTGACCAGGGAAATGAACTGCAAGGGTACAGCTAACTATTTTTCTTAAACTGGATGTTGAGTCCGCTAGTGTTTAATCTTCAGTTATTCTTTTTATTTTAAATATATTTTATATCTATTCTAACAAACACTTTATTTTTATTATTTTTTTTATCCTCACAAAAGATATTTTTCTATTTATCTTCAGATACACTGGGAGGGAGATAGAGAAAAGGAGAGAGAGAAACATTGATGTGAGAGGGACACATCGACTGGTTGCCTCCCGCAAGACCCCGAGCAGGGCTGAGGACGAACTGCAACCGAGGTACGTGCCCTTGACTAGAATCAAACCCGCCACTCATTGGTCCGCGGGCTGATGCTCTACCACTGGAGCCAAAACAGCCAGGGCCTAACAAAAACTTTAAAGAGATAATTGCCCTGGCTGGTTTGGCTTAGCGGTTGGAGTATCGAACCACGGACTGAAGAGTCGCGGGTATGATTCTGGTCAAGGGCATGTACCTCACTTGCGATTTGGTCCCTGGCCCTGGTTGGGGTTGTGCGAGAGGCAGCCAATCAATGTGTGTCTCTCACATCGATGTTTCTCTCTCTCCCTCCCTCCCTCCCTCCCTCTCACTCTATCTTGAAGATATATGTCAAGACTCAATTACAACAGAAAGGTGTAAAGTCCACACGAGGGGTGCACCTTAAGGGCCCAGCTGGGTGACCAGGGAGACTGCCACTGGACCCTACAGGACACCTACTACAACAGGCCTCCCCAGGAAGCCTAGGGGACATAGCAACTCTACATAATACATAGAAGCAAACACAGGGAAGCAGCCAAAATGAGGAGACACAGAAACATTTTCAAATGAAAGAACCGAACAAAACTCCAGGAAAAGAACTAAACGAAATGGCGATAAGCAATCTAACAGATGAGGTGTTGAAAACACTGCTTATGCCCTGGCTGGTTTGGCTAAGCGGTTAGAGCGTTGGCCCACAGACCAATGAGTTGTGGGTTTGATTCCGGTCAAGGGCATGCACCTCATTTGTGGTTTGGTCCCCAGCTCTGGTTGGGATCTTGCAGGAGGCAACCAGTCAATGTGTCTCTCACATCGATGTTTCTCTCTCTCTCTTCCTCTCTCCTTCCCACTCTATCTGAAGATAAATGTAAAAATATTGAGTGAGGATAAAAAGTAAATAAAATACAATAAAATTTGTTTCATATTTCACATAAATGTTCTAAAGATAATTTAAAAGTTATTTTCAATGTTTTGCTTCCCTTGGTTTTCATCATTTCATTATTATGAACTCATAACAGGCCTTTATGAATACAAATGTTTTTACTCACATCAAAAGCCTTTACTTTAAACCATTGATGGATAAAGAAGGGCGGGATGTCTCCCACTTTCTAAGGCAGGCCCTAAACCTGGAAATGCAGACCACCCTCTGGCGGAGTCATGGGTTCCATCAAGGTTACTTCCATTCTCAGCATAATTGTCAACATGAACATACTCAAAATATTCTAGGCCATTGAGCAGGTGAGGGTTATCCCCATAGTAAGAGAGAAAGGAAGCCAGTTCCTGACTACATCATTACATGTGAAACAATCCACATGGCTTTGGGACTAACTGACTGAATCATCAGTACGTTGGCTGAAATGACAGGAAAGGATTTGACTATAAATCCGAGGGAAAGACGTACTCCTTTGTTTTAGCTATTAATGTGATTTTATTACTTTTAAGTGAAAAATATTAAACAGCATTATTCTACTATATAAACTCCAATTTTTTTTACTTTATTTTTATTGTTGACACTATTACAGATGTCCCTCATATTTTATATATATACTTATATTCATAAAAATGATTCATTTTCTAGATGAGGAACTAGTCAAGGCCCAGAAGTTAACCAGGTTAGTGGCTCTCAAGTTCTGCTACATCTTAGAATCAAGGGTAGTGATGCCAAGGCCACAGTGACCAATTACATCAGAATCTCTGGGGGTGGGACCCTTATATTATTTTTTAAAGCTCCCCAAGTTCAACTTAAGGACAAATGAATTAGGTCATGTTAGGTCGGAAGCTAAAACAAGTTGTGCTATTGATTAACTTGTGCCAGCGCAGTTTAGCTTTTGCTATGTTCTTATGTATGCTGTTTCTAATAAAAGGAAAAAGAGGTTGATCTCTTGCTCAGTGCTACTGGAAAGGTGAGATGTATGCAAAACTATACAGGTGAGGTCACAATTCTATCCCAAGAACCGTAGTGTTCTACAACCTGTAGCATTAGTTCTCACCCACAGATCCTTTGAGACTCTTTCTTAGAAGTTTAAAATAAATGCATACATCTAGGAACTATCCTAGATTAGCTACTCTAAATCACTAGGAGAGCGGCACCTGAGCTTGTGAATTTTTTAAAAAGTTCATGATTTTAATGCCCAGCCTTGAATGGAACTCTGTAGAGGTGTGCCACAGTATGTCTTTAGCTGTATTACATTAAATTATAGGGAAGCTTAAGACAGGAAAATAAAATTGCTTAGAGCTACCCAGCAATGGAATAGTCTATATTAAGGCAGTGAGCTCAGAGAAGTGTGGGAACAAGCTCTGTGAGCCCTCATTCATTCCCTCTCAGCAGAGGGGTATCTTACCAGATGAGTGATTTTAAGAGAAGGAACTTAGCATGTGCGGCCCAGTCCCTGGTGGATTCTCTCACCTAGAAAGCGAACTGGTCTCAGAATACAAAGATGGGCTTTGTCCCTGCGAGGCACAGGTAGGCATTTCTCTCCAATGAGACAGGTTTATCAGGAAGCCTGGCTGGAGAACAAATCAGCCTCGCTCTGTTTCAGTTTCACTGATAATAAATAATAAATATAATATATATATATACACACGCACACATTTTTAAATTTATTTTTATTGTTAAGAGTATTATAGGCTCTGGCCAGTTTGGCTCAGCAGTTGGACCGTCAGCCTGTGGACCAGAGCCCCAGGTTTGGTTCCCGTTAGGGGCCAAAAAAAAAAAAAAAATGTACCAAAAAAAAAAAAAGTATTATAGATGTCCCCATTTTCTCCCCTTTGCCCCCCTGCACCCAGCTCCCACCCTACCCCAGGACTTCACCTCACTATAAAGCTGATATTTTGGTATCTGACCCCCATGTCTTATTCCTCAATTTGTTCCAAAGTGAAGAGTTACCTGTTGGTGTGCTTAAATTCCACAAGCATTGCAATAGTCACAAATTGTAATGGCCCATGTCTATAATATTTGTGTTCTGAAGTAGCACTCTGTTATATTATTGAAGTCAGTGAATAATTATATTCTATAGTACAAAATTAACAAAACAAAAATTTTGGCATAAAAAATTGGGAAATTTGCCTGGCTGGTGTGGCTCAGTGGCTGAGCATTGACCCATGCACCAAGAGGTTGCCAGTTCGATTCTCGGTCAGGGCACATGCCCAGGCTCTGGGCCCATCCCCAGTGGGGAGCATGCGAGAGGCGGCTGATCCATGTTTCTATCTCTCTCCCCTTTCCTCTCTCTCTAAAAATGTCAATAAAATACATTAAAAATTTTTTTTTTAAAAATTGGAAATTCTAAGTGCTTAATTTGTCTAGGAAACAACAGCATTTTCCAAGTTTCTATTTTATTGAGAATAATGTTAGTCATGATCTGCAGAAGTTGGTCCTGGGCAATTTGAAGACAGATCTTCTTTATCTGTAATTTACATGAGAAAAAGAAAAGATTTGTATAGTAAACTATTCTAGAAAATTATTTCAACATAACATGGATTTTGTAGTTGTATTTCTTACTTATTGTTAAACAAACCGGGAAAAGATAAAAAAATAAAACCCCCACAATAACCAAAAATTATTCTTCACTCTCAAGTACAAAGTCCTTAAACTCAAGTTAGTAAAGTCAGCACGGGCAAATGTGTTAGAAGGTAAAGCACCTGGCTCTGTAAAACATATGGCAAATTTTAAACCATTTCTTTCTTTCTTTAAAAAAAAAGGAGTGGATTTCAAAATGCTGGTTTCTATGGTTCAGGTACAACATTCTAACTATATAAATTCTACAAATTTAACATAACTTTCAAGCATCTATAACTTAAGAAAAACTAAAATTAAAGCAAAAAAAAATTACCATCCTTAAATGATTTAAAGTTCTTTCTTTTGAAATAAAAGACTGAAAAATTCCCTTTTGTACATTCAGTTTCCAAAAAGTTAAAAACACCTGTAATAATGCCTCAATTATTTCTATATCTATTATTTCTTTAAGACATTGATTGCACATTACCTTTTGGACAGAATAAGAAATTTCTACTATCTAAGGGAAATGTGACTTCTATTAAAAAAATGTTAAAAGTCGCCCTGGCCGGTTTGGCTCAGCGGTTAGAGCGTCGGCCTGCGGTCCGGAGAGACCCGGGTTCCGTTCCCGCTAAGGGCACGTACCTTGGTTGCAGTTTGTCCCTGGCCCTGGTTGGGTCGTGTGGGTGGCAACCACTCGATGTGTCGCTCTAACGTCGATGTTTCTCTGTCTCTCTCTCTCCCTCTCACTCTATCTGAACAAAATATCTAAAAAATGTCCTCGGGTGAGGATAAAAAAAAAAAATGTTAAAAGTCAAAGAGTGACTTCCGGTCAAGATGGCGGGTAGATAAACGTGGTATCGCGTCCTCCCACAACCACATCAAAGTTACAACTAAACTAAAAACAACCATCATTCAAAACCGCCTGAAATCAAGCTGAATGGAAGACCTACAACTACGGGATTAAAGCAGCAGCCGCATCAAGACTGGTAGGAGGGGCGGAGGCGGACGGGCTGGTCCCACACCCACGTGTGGTGGATAAAAATCAGGAGGACACCTCGGCTGGGAAGGTCCTCCCTGAGGACTGAGGGGTCCCCGTCCCACACCAGGTGCCCCGCTCAGGGTTCCAGTGCCAGGAAGAGAGTCCCCATAATTTCTGGCTGGAAAAACCACCGGGAACTGAGGCTCAGGGAGGCTGAAGCAACTGGAGCCCCAGGCAGCTCCTCTTAAAGGGGACATGCACGGACTTACTCCAACTTGTTCCCTCTAAGCTCAGAGAGGGAGGCAGCTTGAAAGGCACCAGAGTCATATGGGGAAGAACTGAGTTGTTTGGCGTTGGAGTGAGGGCTGGAGAGGGGGCTTTCTCCTCGACAGACATGCTGTCAGAGGCCTTTGTTCATTTGGTGAGCCCTTCCCTGGGGCAGCAGACAGTCGCCATATCTGGGACTCCAGCAACCTGGCTCACACTGGTAGCCCCGCCCTGGTGACTCCCTGAGGCCCCGCCCCACCCAACTTGCAGGCCCACCCAAGCTGTTGCCAGTTGCTTAACCATAGGATTGGCCTATCTTGGATCTTGCTTCAGGTTTTCCTAAATTCTTTCAAACAAGCAGCATCTGGTCTCAGCTAGCCCCATACCTCTCTTTAAGTAATACACAGAAACAAACACAGGGAGGCAGCCAAAATGAGGAGACAAAGAAACAGGTCCCAAATGAAAGAACAGAACTAAACCCCAGGAAAAGAACTAAGCAAAATGGAGATAAGCAACCTAACAGATGCTGAGTTCAAAACACTACTTATAAGGATGCTCAATGGACTTAGAACCTCAGTGAACTTAGTGAGGGCCTCAAGAGCATAAAAAAAGACAAATCAGAAATGAAGAGGTACTAATTAAAATAAAGAATAATTTAGAGAGATTCAGTAGCAGAGTAGGTCAAGCCAAGAAGCAAACCATCTATTTGGAATATAAGGAAGCAAAAAACACCCAATCAGAACAGCAAAAAGAAAAAGGAATCCAAAAAAACGAGGACAGTGTAAGGAGCCTCTGGGACAACTTCAAGCGTGCCAACATTCGCATCTTGCGGGTGCCAGAAGGAGAAGAGAGAGAACAAGAAATTAAAAACCTATTTGAAACAATAATGGCAGAAAACTTCCCTAACTTGGTGAAGGAAACAGACATACAAATCCAGCAAGCACAGAGAGTCCCAAACAAGATGAACCCCAAGAGGCCCACACCAAGACACATCATCATCAAAATGCAAAAGGTTCAAGACAAAGAGTGAATCTTAAAAGCAGCAAGAGAAAAGCAGTTAGTTACCTACAAAGGAGCTTCCATAAGACTGTCAGCTGATTTCTGAACAGAAACTTTGCAGGCCAGAAGGGAGTGGCAAGAAATATTCAGAGTGATGAAAAGCAAGAACCTACAACCAAGATTACTCTATCCTGCAAAGCTGTCATTTAGAATCGATGGCCATATAAAGAGTTTCCCAGATAAGGAAAAGCTAAAGGAATTCATCACCACCAAACCATTACTATATGAAATGTTGAAGGGTCTTCTTCTTAAGAAAAAGATAAAAAATAAGAACAAACAAAATGGCAATGAATACATATCTATCGACAATTGAATCTACAAACAAAATGAACAAGCAGAACAGAAACATTCTCATAGATACAGAGAAATTTTGTTGGTTGCTAGATGGGAGGGGGGTTAGGGGAATGGGCAAAAAAGGTGACGGGATTAAGAAGTACAAATTGGTTGTTAGGGAAGGGGTCTGGGGGTGGGAAGAAATAAACCAAAGAACTTCTGTTCATATATGCATAACCAATGAATACAAACAACAGTGTGGGGAAAGGCAAGAGGAGGGTGGAAATGGGGAGGAGGAAGTCAATGGGGGAAAAATGAGGAACATCTGTAATACATTCAACATAAAGATAAGTTAAAAAATTTACAACAACAAAGAAAAAGTCAAAGAGCACTTGTATTCAATATTTTTTTGAAAGTTTATAAAGTATTTCCTTACCTTCATAGGCTGTTCCACACCAAATACAATATAGATGTTCTTCTCTTAAATAACTAGTCAATATTTGTAATTTGTCCAGTACCTAGACATAGAACACAAGTACATTAATGGTTCACATTGAACAGAATCTTGGTTTTCTTATCTCTTGGATCATGCTGAATTAGCCCAAGACCATAAATCTTCCACTACATTCTCAACCAGTTGGGAGAGGTGTCAAAGGCAGAATATTTTAGAACATGTCCCAGTTTATCAGCCACCCTGATAGTTTCATAAGTCTGCCAGATAGAACAGAGACCACTTGCTAACGTTCAGAAAACAGAATTTGGCTCGCTCTACTAGGATCAGGATCCTTTAAAAAAAATTTTTTTTTCTTTATTGATTTAGAGAGAGGAAAGGAGAATGAGAGACAGACAGAAACATCGATGAAGTACAACGACTGGCTGCCTCCTGCACGCCCCTCACCGGGGATTTGGCCCACAACCTGGGCATGTGCTGTGACCGGGTATTAAACTGGCGACCTCTTGGTGCATGGGTCAATGCTCAACCACTGAGCCACACTGGCCAGGCGGGATCAAGATCCATTAAAGACCACTTCTACTTTCAAAGAATCTACCTCCCCGAGTGGGATGAGGGTGAACATTGACTTCCTGTGCTATTCAAATTCTCATTGGTGGACTCCCATTTAAATGGAACATAGGTTTTTCAAAGTTTGAATGTTTCCTATAAAACTCCTATATATATGTAACCATAAAAATGTATATTCATTTCTTGAATAATCTCTACTTCTTTGAATTGAGTTTTGCTTTGTCTTCTGTATGGGTGGAAGAGAGAGGTACTCATGAGAATCACTTCCATGAGTTTAACAGAAAACAAGGTAGAAATGAAAATAATTTACATTTGCAGCTAATCCATCATCCACACTGAAATAGAGGTGAGAGGGTAAACTGAAGCTAAAGGGGAAAATTATATGAAGTTTTGATTTGAGGTTAATGAATCTATCATGCAGTAGTTCTCAACTAGGACATCTCACAATGCCTGAAGATATTTTTGGTTGTCACAAGGGGGAAGTGTGACAGTCATCTGGTTGGTGGGTAGAGGCCTGGGATGCCGCCAGACATCCTACAATACACAGAAAAGCCCCCATAACCACCACCAATAGGCTCAAAACATCAATAGTGCTAAGACACCCTGCTCAAGGAAAGGGTACCAAAACATACACTTAGATCTTCACTCTCATATTCATCTTCATCTTGTTCTTTTTCTTCCTCTTCCTCTTCTTCAGTCTCTTCTTCAAGCCTCAGCCAGTACCAGGCCTCCCTAGGAACCTGAATATTCTGAAAATGTAAAATTTTTCCTCATTAAACATAAACATGAGACTATCACTAGTATGTTCATGTCAACATTAATTCATTCTTTTAATTAAATATTTATTGAGTGCAGCTTCAAGAGTAAAGCACTGCACTATGAATTCTGGGGATGCAAAAGCCAATTAGAATATGTATATACATATATTTTAATCCTCACCTGAGGACATGCTTATTGATTTTTAGAGGGAGGGCAAAGGGGAGGGAGAGAGAGGGAGAGAGAGAGAGAGAAATAGAAAAACATCAATGTGGGAGAGAAACATTGATTGGTAGCCTTCTCATACACGTCCCAACTGGGGATGTAACCCGAAACCTATATGTGTGCCCTGACCAGGAATCAACCCCGACAACTTTTGGTGTAAGGGATGACACTCCAACCAACTGAGCCACACCAGCCAGGGCCCTATTAGAATATTGTATTGTCTCCATGTTGCTGACAGTCTAGTAGGGAAAATAAGTTATGGGCATAAATAGCTTAATGGGTATAAAATAATACATAGAAGCTAGGAAATCTTAAGAGTTATGACATACATTCAAAATAAAGTGCTAGGAAAATATATAAAAGTGAGAGATTGCTCTTAGCAATCTATTACAGATAATGGAAATTTTTACAAATATTTTTGAAACTTTAAAACAATTTTTTAAAATTGATTTTCAGAGAAAGTGTGGGGAGAAAGAAAGAGAGAGAGAGGTATGTTGTTCCACTTATTTATGCATTTACTGTTTTTTTGTTTTTTTTTATCCTCACCCGAGGACATTTTTCCATTTTTTGTTCAGATAGAGCAGGAGGGTGAGAGAGGAAGAGAGAGAGAGAGAGACACTGATGTGAAGGGACACATCGAGTGGCTGCCACCTGCACGACCAACCAGGGCCGGGGAAAACTGCAACCGAGGTACATGCCCTTACTGGGAACCGAACCCGGGTCTCTCTGTACCGCAGGCCGACGCTCCAACCGTTGAGCCAAACCGGCCAGGGCACTGGTTGATTCTTGTATGTGCCCTGATGGGGTACAGAACCCACAACCTTGGCATATCTGAGTGACATTCTAAAACCAACTGAGCTACTCGGCCAAGGCACAATTTTAGAGTTTAGATGAAGTCATTTTATTTTAAACCATCAAAATAAAAAATAAAAGCAAAGACAGAAATTTTAAAAATGATTCAGATCTGAAATAGATATTATTCTACTGTGATATTACTAGTTAGAGACATATAAGTTACTGAATATGGACTGAAAATAGACTATTCTGGTTAGTCAGATATTCTGATGAATAGAATTTCCACACAGAGTGACTCTGGGTAACCAATATACAAATAAGCAGAGAACAATTAAATTTAAAAATGCTATTTAACCCTTATTGGGTAATTCAGACTACTCAGGTTTCTGCAGTGAACAAGTCCTTATTGTGAGTAGTCCATGTTATAAAAGACTTTAGTCCAGTGCTTTTCAACTGGCGTACCGCAATAATTTCAAAAACATGCAGTACTTGACTATTTAGTCAAGGACACTGATCTCTTTTCCCTTAGATTGTCAAATTAAAAAAATGTCAACAGCCAATACAACAATAGCTATTTGGTGTGAGTGCCCTGTTCATATAGGTCATATAACAGAGCTGCATCTTATTGGCCATGTCACAAAATAATGTTGCATCTGATTGGCTAACTCTTGGTACCAGAAATTCTTATATACAACTATAGGTACCTGATTTTTTTAAAAAGTCACTCTGAGCCCGGCTGGTGTGGCTTGGTGGATTGAGTGTCAACCTATGCACCAAGAGGTCATCAGTTCAATTCCTGGTCAGGGCACATGCCCAGGTTGCAGGCTCAATCCCTGTGCAGGAGGCAGTTGATTGATGTTTCTATCTCACACAGATGTTTCTACCTCTCTCCTTTCCTCTCTCTCTAAATAAACAATAAAAACATATTTATTAAAAAAATAAAATTTAAAAAGCCACTTTGAAGCAAAAAGGGTAGGTAAGTACTATCATTTTTTTTGTAAATCAATACAAATTTTATCTATTTTTTTGGTCAGATTGGCAAAAAATACATTTTTGGGGGTGCCACAAAATCTTAGTAATTAGTTGATATGTGCCACGAGATGAAAAGGGTTGAAAATTGCTGCTTTAATCAGTAGAAGACTAGTTACACCAGACTTGGAATGTTTCCTTTGGTTTAGGTTTTTCAAATATAAATTCACAGCAATCACACTGGGTGCCAAAACACTTCAATACCAACTGAAAGCAGGCAGAAGGCTTGCCTTCTGAGTATCCAACTGCTGACAGGCTCGCTGGCTTCTCCGAAGGTCTCCTTCCAGCTTCATTTCATCTTGCTTATTTTTAAGTCGCATTCTAATTGAAAGAAAAAATGGGACATTACAGGTCTGTACTCTCTTTATCCATTTTATACGCCCAAGTACTAAAAAACATACCACACTGAAGAAAAGATGAAACCAAGAGCAGCTCAAATACAAAATGTTTTTTTTTCATCCTCACCCGAGGACATTTTTATATCTTCTGTTCAGATAGAGCGGGAGGGAGAGAGAGAAACATCGACGTGAAAGGGACACATCGAGTGGCTGCCACCCACACGACCCAACCAGGGCCGGGGACAAACTGCAACCGAGGTACATGCCCTTAGCGGGAACCGAACCCGGGTCTCTCCGGACCGCAGGCCGATGCTCTTAACTGCTGAGCCAAACCAACTAGGGCTCAAATACAAAGTTTTACCGGAACTGTTCTGCAGCTTGTTCCTCAGCTTGGTTTTTCATGTGAACCTTCCTTCTGTAGCTTTCTAATTTTTCCTCTGCTTTCCGTTTTAATAATGTCTCATGACCGATACCACTTTTTCCTGTTCAAACAGACAACTCTGATGAGAAACTTACTGACTTTATATTTCAAAACATGGCAATTTAAATATTTACAAATTAAACGCAGTTGTAAATTGAGTACAATCTCTCAAAATCATTTGTGATAAGAATGACAGGAGAAAACACTAAAGATTTATTTTATAAACCCCAAACATAATTTAATTTTTACAAATATCGTTATGAGTCTAATCTGACAGTAATACTACACAAATTTTTTTACATTGGCAGAACATCACGAACAGTCACACTTTCATATAAATATGATGAACAAAGAAAACATATTTTGAAAAATTCAAACTATTAAGAAAAACAATTATTTTTATGTTTTATTTTGCAATTACAATTTACGTTCAATATTATTTTGTATTAGAGTGTATAGCATAGTGGTTAGACAATCATATACTTTACAAAGCGATCCCCCAATATATAAGAAAAAATTTTAATGGATAAATCTGTCTCAGAATACTGTCAGAACATTTCAATTCATAAAAATACCTTTGCATTTTTGTTTGTTTTTTAATCCTCACCCGAGGATATTTTTTCCATTTATTTTCAGACAGAATGGTGGGGGAGGGGGGAGAGAGGGAGGGAGAGAGGGAGAGAAGGAGAGAGAGAGAGAGAGAGAGAGAGGGAGCATGTGCGCCCGCGCACGCGAAAGAGAAACACTACCATGAGAGAGACACATTGATTGGCTGCTCCCTACACGACACTGACCAGGGCAGGGACTGAACCAAAACATGAGGTACATGCCCTTGACTGGAATCAAACCCAGAACTCTCTGGTCTGCGGGCCGACGCTCCAACCACTGAGCCAAACTGGCCAGCGCCCTTTGCGTTTTTAATGTTTGCAACAATTTTCCCTCATATTTTTTATTATTTAAGTTTTATTTTATATTCACTAAAACATAGTTTTAGTTTAAAAGTTTAGAAGTTTAAGAAACATCTTACTGCCCTGGCTGGTTTGGCTCAGCGGTTAGAGTGTCGACCTGCGGTCCTGAGAGACCCGGGTTCGGTTCCCGCTAAGGGCGCATACCTCGTTTGCAGTTTGTCCCTGGCCCTGGTCGGTCATGCGGGTGGCAGCCACTCGATGTGTTCCTTTCACATCGATGTTTCTCTCTCTCTGTTCCTCTCTCTCCCTCCCACCCTACCTGAACAAAAAAATGGGAAAATGTCCTCGGGTGAGGATAAAAAAAAAAGAAACATCTTACTGAGGGCTTCTTATGATAAAAACTGTAACAGTACCATCATAAAAAGTACTTGTTAAGCAAATATATGTGCTAGATATAAGCATAAGTTATTAGTACTGGTAAATATCCCTAAAAACAACTACATACCTGTTTTGACGTTGAGAGGAATTGGTTCAACAATACCATCTCCTGAAAAAAGAGAATAAAACACAAACTGCTTTAGAAATTCTTCCTCAAATTACAGGTAAGCCTAGTGTGCAAGTTCACAATGTTCCATACAGATCCCCTCCTGTTTCAATGATTTCAAACTGAAATCTGAACATCAATAGTCTATAATCAACTACCATCTTTGAATACCCAGTCCTCAATAAACCTGACCCACATAGCCTCTTGTGTCACCTAAAGGCAGGGTTTTAAGAAGTGAAAGACTGATATTAAACATCCAAGAGGGTGACAGTCTTGCTAGATAAAAGATCGAGATTACAATAAAGAAGAGAAGAAAAGAAAAACAGATTATAGGAGCTACTTTGAATATATGGTCACAGTCTGGCCGGTGTGGCTCAGTGGTTGAGAATCAAGCCATGCACCAAGAGGTCACCAGTTCAATTCCTGATCAGGGCACAAGCCCAGGATGTGGGACTGGTCCCCAGTGGGGGGCATGCAGAAGGCGGCCAATTTATGTTCTCTCTCATCGATGTTTCTAACTCTCTCTCCTTCTGCCTTCCTCTCTCTTGAAAATTAATCAATCAATGTATGTCCTCTATATCTTAATAAATGGTCTCACTTCCTAAAAAGAGGTGAGAATGGAGCTTCTCCAACTGGTGGTCACTCGGGTTTGCTGCTACAGGTAAAAAGCAAACAGGGCAGAGTCCTGACATTGTCCTCAATTCTGTTTCACTATCTTTTGGCCATTGTACTTCTCAACCCTCCTCGTCACCATTCTTCGCTGTTGCTTCCATTGTAAGCTTTGTCCATCACTGTTGTCAGTGACTTCAAGATTGAGCTGGGCTGAGAAGCAGCTCTAGATGGCCCATGGTTGTATAAAATGGATGTGGGAAGATGAACATTCTCCATAAACCTTGTTAGCACCCAAGAGACTAAGAAGCTTAAGTGTTTTCATTTCTGTGTAGATGAATAAGATTAAAGAGTCATCTCTGGTACTCATGGATAAATCACCATTTGGTGGTTAGGAACACCTTTTTGTTTTTGGATGTGACTTACCACTCTTGCCAAGGGCCTGACCACTTTTATATCCCATCTTCTGGAGCAAAGCAAACCCTTTGTTTTCACAGCCTAGTGCATTCTTCAACCCAATGTCACGTCTTTCTTGTTCTTCTTCTTTTAAACTCTTCTGCCTATTTTTCAAATTAGCTTCTTGTTGCTTTTCTTCTTTTCGACGGGCTTCTCGAATTTGCCTCAGCATCGGCAATCCTGGTCTGATATCTTCTCTGAAGAATAAGGGAAAAGATTGTTTTAGACGAGTACATGAAGTTTTCTCATGACTTTGATACTTACTCACTTGATACTACTTCATACTCCAATGCTACCTCTCTGACCATCTTTGTTATCAATATCATAAATGCAATCAGTGACCTCTGAGAATGGCTATTTTAGTAAAAATGATGATGGTTGTTGCCGGGTTGTGGGAAACTAAAGAAAGTATACAGTTGGCCCTGGCTGGTTTGGCTCAGTAGTCAGAGCATCAGCCTGAGACTAAAGAAGGGTCGCAGGTTTGATCCCCAGCCCCCCAGTTGGGGTTGTGCGGGAGGCAACCAATTGATGTGTCTCTCTCACATCAATATTTCTCTTTCTTTCTCTCTCTCTCCCCACCCCTTTTCCTCCCACTCTATAAAAATCAATGGAAAAATATCCTCTGGTGAGGATTAACAACAACAACAACAAAGAAAAGCTGAATAGTAGCTAGAAGAGACAATGAGATGAAATAAACAAAAACAGTAAACTTCCTTGGAAGAAGGGAATAAAAACAATCAAGGGCAGAAGTAAAATGCTTAGCACTAAAAGGGAAGCAGTGTCTAGTATCTTTGTATGTACATGTAGATGTACATCCCATAAAGCAGTAAGACAAACTTTGCAACCTCACATTTAAAGTCAATGTCACTGCTTCAGAGTCTACATTAATGTCTTATACATATCATTCCATGTGGTGTACACATTTACTTACTGGACATTAATGAAAGAATCAGACATATAGTCCTCTTCTTCAGCCATGTTCAACTTCATATGACTAAAGTATCTGAAAATCAAATAAGATAAATTAAGTTACAAATTTTTTAGTTTATCAAAATGGAAATAAACCTTTCTGTATCCCCCGCCGTGACCTGTCTCCAGAGCTCTACTCCACATCCAAGTTTCCTTTTGACATCTTTCAGTGTGAAGTTCTCAAACTCAACAATCCAAACAACTCATGCTCTTCTATCCCAAACTTCCTTTATCCCCTATATTTCCAAATTCAAGTCACTACTATCTCCCCATTCCTGACCTTTTATAAACCTCTGTCACTTTCTCCTCTATAGCATCCCTCACAGGCATTTTCCACTGTAGTTGTGACTACTGCTTTACTTCAGGCATTTCTTTCTCACCTGAGCTCTTACAACTGCTTCCTAACTGGTCTCACTGCCTTGGCTTCTCTCTTCCAATCCATCCTCTACACCCCTCTCCAAAATAGTGGTTTAAAAACATAAGTCAGGTCATATTACCTGCTGTTTCAAGTCCTTCAATAAATTTTACCCGTGGCAGTGGAGAACCAGTCACTTGAACAATGTAGCAGAAGCCCTTCATAATCTGACCCCTGACTCTCCTTTAGGTTTCATTATTTAAGCCACCTAGACTTCTCATTGCTGTCTAAACATACCACTGACATGTACTTCCTCCTAGGCCCAGGCTGCCCTTCTTCATAAAAACGTGTCCTGACCACCCCAGTGCTCTCTCTACAGCACTTTATATTCAAGCTGCTCATTTGGAACTTGATATAATTAATACCTCACCTCTATGGAAACATTTTGGAGGAGAGTTTCCACCCAAAATAGCTAAAATCATGTAATTATTGGTCCAAACTTTATTGTGTATATGAATTATACCAGGATCTTCTTAAAATGCAGAGTGAGCCCTGGCTGGTTTGGCTCAGCGGTTGAGCATCAGCCCATGCACCAATGAGTCGCGGGTTCAATTCCAGTCAAGGGCACGTACCTGGGTTCAAGTTTGTTCCCAGCCCTGGTCTGGTGGTACAGGAGGCAACCAGTCCATGTAACTTTATCATATGATGTTTCTCTCTGTCTCTCTCTCTCCCTCCCTCCCACTCTACCTGATAATAAGTAGAAAAATATCCTCAGGTGAGGAATAAAAACAAAACAAAAATGCAGAGTGATTCCGAGCTAGAGCCTGCGGTTATGCTTTTCTAACAGGCTCCCAGGATGTTAATTTTTCCTTAGGGAATCCAGCCCTTTGGCCTCCATGTGGTTCTAGAGGAGGGTGACAATCTCCATATTCTCTTGGTCACAAGATGGCCAATTATAGTACTTTATGCCCCTGTAACAGGGGAGGGGATGATTTAACCAGGGGAAAGAAGCATCTTTTCCCTTACATGATATGAATATGTGGACTGTGGGGAAAGAAACTCTTCACTAGGGTTTCTGAACTGGATTATGTGAAGTTGGGCTGCAGATGGCCATCTTCTTGGCTATATGCAGAGATCCTGTTCTGCAGAATGTAGCCAGATAGAGAAGGTGTAGAAAGAAAAGCCTAAAAGCAATGAGTCTCCAAACCTAGTTCCCAAGACCCTGATTTCTGTAGCTCTTTCTTTGATGCTGTGACCTAGCATCCTTCCCAGCTATACAGGCTAATAAACTTCCTCATTACTTAAGTTTGTTGGAATAGCAAATTCAACCCAGAGTCTGAACAATTACATTGGATGAAAAAAATATTACAGTACTGGTTTTTAATATTTTTAATGTATATATTCCCAACTAGGCTATAAACCACAAGAAAAGTCCCCTATGTGCCCAATGCCTACACCACTGTGTCCCAAATATCATAAATTCTTTTTTTTTCCTTTCCTTTTTTGATTTTAGAGACAGAGGAAGGGAAAGGGAGAGAGATATAATCATCGATGAGAAAGAACATCGACTGGTCTCCTCCTGCATGCCCCTCCTGAGGATTTGGCCCACAATCTGAGCATGTGCCCTGACTGGGAATTGAACCACCGACCCCTTGGTGCATGGGCTGATGCTCAACCACTGAGCCACACCAGCCAGACATATCATAAATTCTTAATGTTTGGCAATGATGAAAAAGGTTCTTTAATAATATATGTAATTTTGTAATAATACATACATTTTCCCAAAGCTGTCACATCTTATTTTTTTAACTTGATTTAAATATATCAATACAGAAGGCAACATAAAACAAATGTACAGCCTAACGAATTATCTATTATGAGGCAAACATTCTTGTAACCAGGAGGTAGCCTCCAAGGTGGCCCCCAGTGATTGTGTAGTCTCCTTCCACAGTAAACAGGATTGACCTGTGTAACCAATAGGATATTATGGAAATGATAGAGTATGATTGCTTGGTCATAAAAAAAAAAAAACACTACAGCTCTTAGATCACTAACTGTGAAGTTAGTTAGATTACTCACTCTGAAGAAGTCAGCTGTCATGTAGTGGGGACACTTAAGCAGCTCTATGGAGAGGTCCACACAGGAGAAACTGAGGCTTCCTGTTGACAAGCAGCACAAATTTGAGAGCTACATGAGTGAGTTACCTTGGAAATAAATCCTATAGCACCTTCAAATGACTCAGCCTGGGCTGGCATCTTCACAACAACTTCTTAAGCAAGTCCAAGCTAAGCTAAACCAGTAACAAATTCCTGATCCATACCTGAGTTTCTGTGTGATATAACAAATGATTATATTTATTCAAACTGATAAAATTTCAGATAATTTGTTAAACAATAAAAGATCATACAAACCAGGCCCTGGCTGGTTTGGCTCAGCTGTTAGACTGAAGAGTCTTGGGTTTGATTCCGGTCAAGGGCACGTACCTCGGTTGCGGTTTGGTCCCCGGCCCTGGTCGGGTCATGAGGGAGGCAACCAGTCCATGTGTCTCTGTCACATCATGTTTCTCTCTCTTTCTGTCTCTCTCTCTCCCTCCCACTCTATCTGAAAATAAATGGAGAAATATCCTCAGGTGAGGATTTAAAAAAAAAAAAAAAGATAATACAAACCAGGACACATATCAGGAGCTAGAAACTTGTTGGTCACCTCAGGAGCCCTCTTTGTTCTCTACTCAATAGCACCTCTTCTAAACACCTCCTATTCTTCCTCGTTTCATCATTCACATGTACATCATTAAACATTACTGTACAGTTTTGCCTATTTTTCTTTTTACTATAGCATAATAAGTTAAAAACGTGTAAGATTATATTTAGCATTTGCGGTAATTCACTCACCGATTCTTCATTTGTAATAATAGTATTTTTACACATATGGTTTAGCACTTACCCAGTATATCACACATCTTTTTTAGTCCCTTTGATCATCATTAAAAACTCTATAAGGGCCCTGGCCGGTTTGGCTCAGCGGTTAGAGTGTCGGCCTGCGGTCCTGAGAGACCCGGGTTCGGTTCCCGCTAAGGGCATGTACCTCGGTTGCAGTTTGTCCCCAGCCCTGGTTGGTTGTGCGGGTGGCAGCCACTCGATGTGTCCCTTTCACATCGATGTTTCTCTCTCTCTCTCTCTCTCTGTTCCTCTCTCTCCCTCCCACTCTACCTGAACAAAAAATGGAAAAATGTCCTCGGGTGAGGATAAAAAACAAAAACAAACAAAAAAAAAACTCTATAAGGTAAGAATATAATTACTCCTGCTTAGTAGTTGGAGAAATTGAGGCTCAGTGTGGCTAAATGCCTTGCTCAACGCCACAAAGTACCCAGGGCTCAGGGCTCTTGCTACTGCAAATGGGATTAGATATTTTTAAAGGACCCGTTGCGCTCCAAAGTGCTAGGCAGATCTGCATGGGGGTCACTGATCCCTTTCTGAGATCCCTCTTTATGGGTACAATGCACGTTAGCATCCTCCATCCCCATGAAGCCTACGAATAAACTTCACAGGTGATAACCCAGGCAGAGATCCAGTGACAGCGGCGGCGTGGTCACAATTCGGGCATATCCTGAAGGTGGAGCTAACAAGACTTGCAGAGGGGCTGGAGGTGACGTCGAGGATTGCCTCAAGGCTTCTGGCCTGAAGCTGGAGGAATGGACTCACCAGTTTGGGAAAGGGGTTAGACTGCAGCAGATTGTTTTATTTTGTGTGTTTTGGCAGCGAGAGCAGGAAGGTAGGAACAGGAGTGCTGCTTCGGACACACGGAGAGCCCCCTACACGCCCTGGTGGAGAGATGGGATAAGTAGTTGGATGTACAGCAGAAAGGCGGCAAAAACAAAAACAAAACCGCCTGGTCTCACTCTCCTCAGGGATCGCTGATCCCTCCCCTCTCTGGTCCCTCCCGGCGGCCAACATCCCACAGACGCGACCGCTAGAGGTGGGAATGCGGGCGATGGTGTGATGGGGTAGTCACAACCAGCACACACATCACCGCGCCTCCCCATTCCATCCGGGGCCTCCAGCCCCTCACCTGGCAGCTCTACTCACCCCGGCCAGCTTCGGGCAGTGCACGCTGCGCATATTCCCACGAACCGCGCAGGACGTCCGGGCCTCGCCCACAGCCGAGCTTCCGTGCGCAGAATCCCTCGGGAACCTGCGGCAGGCGGGGCTAGGAGGACGTGGTTAGTGCGCTCGCGCAAGACCAACCTGCTGCGCACGCGCTCTCCTCGTTTCCTGCTGGCCCCAGCGCGGGAGGCGGGGCATCCGGGTCCCTCGGCAGCTGCTTCTGGGCCGGGAGCCTAGCTTATCGGCTCCAGCTACACTAGGAGGTGAGGCCGCCCGATCCTCTGCCAAAGCATGCACATTGACGCGCACACACACCCCTGGCCCCGGACGTTTTCAGAGGGCTGGGGAGGAAACTTGAGTTCGTGATGAATATTTTCCCTTTCCCATCTCCGGACTCGATTCCGAGTCTGCGCGCCCTGGAGTTGACAGCCCGAGTGACTACGTAGGCCTGCGGCGCCTCTTGCTTTTCCCCCAGGCCCGGGGCTGCGCCACGGCCCTCGGAGCAGCCCTGTAACACCCACCCGCAGCGCGCGCAGCCTCTGCCGGCTGCGTTCTCGGACCGTCGGGGGATGTCGCCGAAGCTTCAGCCGCGGGGACTGGCCGCCCCCACCCCTTCCCTGTAGGAAGACACTGGGAGACTTCCAGTGTGGGATCTTCGGGCTGGGAGGTTTTGATAGACTTCTGAGCCAGGTGCAGCAGGGGAGGGGTAAGGGTGCTGTGCACCCAGCAGTGGACAAGAAACAGGGCTAGGCTGTCAGTCCTGGCTGGTGTTTGATCTGGGTGCTTCAGTTTTCCAGTTTATGGAATGGGTTAATGATGTGTTTTCCTAGGCATTTTTTTTTGCAATATTTATTTTAATTTTTTACCCCATGTTTTCCCCCTCACTAATCATTACTCTCTTTCATTTTTTTTGGAACCTTGTCTTTTAAAATTTTAGTTCTCAGGTGTTTCCTCAAGAAGTTATATAAGTTTACTCCAAATGAAATGGGAAGTAAAGCCTGACTTTTCATGTCTTAGTGGTTACAATCATTAAGCTGGACTTTTAACGCTGAAAATTCCTTACAAGTGTTTTTTAATTTGTTACTTTAAGGTGTGAATTTAAAACGTCAGTAATGGAGTTAGCTCACAGTTTATTACTAAATGAAGACGCTTTGGCTCAAATCACTGAAGCAAAGAGGCCAGTTTTTATCTTTGAATGGTTGCGATTCCTTGATAAAGTCTTGGTTGCTGCCAACAAGGTATGATATTGCTGTCCCCACCCCCCACCCCCAGTTGGGTTAACATAATAAAGAGTATTATGTGTTCATGATTTGTGAGAAAAAATTTTGGTTGTAGGCCAAATCCCCAGTGTGGGGCATGCAGGAGGCGGCCAATCGATGTTCTCTCTCATCGATGTTTCTGTCTGTTTCTCCCTCTTCCTTCCTCTCTCCCTAAAATCAATAAAGAGCCCTGGCCAGTTTGGCTCAGTGGTTGAGCATCAGCTTGTGGACCAGAGAGTCCCAGGTTCGGTTCCCGCTAGGGGCACGTACCACCAAAAAAAAAATAAATAAAAATAAAATCAATAAAGAAAAAATTTGTTTTTAATTACTTTTCATCTTCTTCATTATTATTATCCCCATATCTCATCTGGATTATTGCAAAAAGCTTATTAAGTGCTCACTGTGTTTCCAACATGTACCTTATAGAGTATTCTTAGCTCAACAGTTAGAATGAGCCTGTTAAAACATTTATATCATGTCCCTCTGCTTCATGCTCTCAGAATAAAATACAAAGTTCTTTCTCTGTACCGCAGGCCGACGCTCTAACCGCTGAGCCAAACGGCCAGGGCTAAAATACAAAGTTCTTAATGCTGATATTTAAGGCACGACACAATCTAATCCCTTCTATACTTCTGATTTCATGTCCTGCTACTTCCTGTCTCTTAGTCTGCCCCAGCCAAACTGGCCTTCTTGCTGTCCTCAAGCCTATTAAGCATGTTCCCTCCTCTAGGTCTTTACATAAGTTTCCCCTGCCCAGAATGTTCCTCGCCCAATATTTGCATGTCTCATACCTTCACTTCTTTTCAGAGTGGCCCTTTCCTTGATAATCTATGTAAAATAGTAAGAACTCACACTATTCTTTTGCTTATTTGGCAAATTCTGTGTCTCCCCTCTAGAATATAAATTCTAGAGTTCAATGTTGCCTAGAATATTCATGCCTAGAATAGTGTATGGCATATAATAAGTGCGCAATATATATTTCTTAAATGAATGAATGAAATTTCAGTATTGATTATGGGTAGATCTGAATATTTTTTCTGTTGCCCAGGGCTCCTACAGAGTTTCTTTTGATTTCCTTCACTGACCTATAACTTTTTGGACTTTGGTTTTAATGAAGAGCTTATCTGGGTTCTAAGACATCAATTGCCCATATACCCAGTATTTTACATTCTTGGACTATTTATTTCTTAGTAAGTTGATGTGGAAACTTTTGGGTCTAGAGTAGTCACTTTTTTTGGCAGCTAGCTTTTAGCTTTGGAGGAGAATGAAGGAGACTATTTAATCTAGTAAAGAATGATTCATTTCTTACTGAACTCTTCCTTATCTTGAAAATTTTCATTTATTATTTTATGCCTAATGTAATATAGATTTTAATTATTAGAATGCAACAAAAGTACATATAAAAAATAGTGATGTTCTTTTTTCTTTTTTTTGTGTAACAGACTGATGTTAAGGAAAAACAGAAAAAACTTGTTGAACAATTAACTGGATTAATAAGTAGTTCACCTGGACCACCTACGCGAAAATTGTTAGCTAAAAATCTTGCAGCTCTCTATAGCATTGGGGATACTTTCACTGTTTTTCAAACACTTGAAAAATGTAATGACATTATCAGAAGTAAAGATGACACTGCAGCCTATTTACCAACAAAATTGTGAGTACTTACTTTGAGATCAATCCTTGAACATTTTTTGTTTTTTCGGAATAACTTGTCTTAATAAATGGCTGCAGATTATAAAGAACTCCAGGTAGATGGAACCTGAGGCATGCTGCCGACCATAAAAGCTCCCTAAGTAGGTCTGGGGAAAGGGTTCTATTTCAACATTTGCTCCATTGCTACTGGGACTTGCAGCAAGCTACAGAGGATTGGTATAATGTAAGCAATTTGCACAGGGGTCTTTTGGTAAATTTGAATGGAGATAGTATTCTTGGCTGGGATAGAAAGGAACATAAAGAATTTCTAGGTGATGGGATTGAGGCAGGAATGTGCAAACTATAGCTCACAGGCCAAATCCAGCCTGCTGCCTGTTTTGTAAATAAAGTTTTGTTGGGAGGTAGACATGTCTGTTCATTTAGGAGATAGCTACTTTCATGCTGTAGTGACAGAGACCATATTGCTTACAGATTTGCTGACCCCTAGATTAAGAGCTTAACCCAACTCCTCCCCCATACTTGTGGTTTGAATGCAGGGCAGACATTTTTGGAGCAAGTCTGAAAGATAATGGCTATAGGGATGCATGCTGTGAAAGAATTAAATGAGAAGTGCTATGAGAGGGAAAATAACACCTAAACAAGCTTAGCTGTGGTGTGAGGGGACAGCAGTATCAAGGATGGCTTCTCAAAGAAGCATCAGCCCTGGCCAGTTTGGCTCAGCGGTTGAGCATCACCCTGCGGACCAGAGAGTCCTAGGTTCGGTTCCCACTAGGGGCACATACCACAAAAAAAAAAAAAAAAAAAAAAAGGAAGCATCAGCTAAAGATCAACCATCAAGAAAGGAAACATGAGTAGTCAGGTAAGGGGTTAAGAATAGGAAGAGGGGAAGATGGATGTGATATAGGCCAGGGATCGGCAACCTTTATGAAAAAGGCCAGATATAAATATTTCTGGCTTTGTGGACTAGGCATCTCTGTCACAACTACTGACCTCTACTGCCGACAGTATATATATGAGTGTGACTGTGTTCTTATATAACTTTATTTAAAAAAACAGATGGTAGGCTGGATAATGGTCCAGATTTGGCTGGCAGGCTGCAGTTTGCCAACCTACTTTCTAGGCAAAGGAAACTTCTAATTGAAAACAGAAATGGCTTATTTATCCTTATTTACAGTGCTTTCAGAAAGATACAGTGTAGTGGAGGAAACAAGTTGTGAGGGGAAGATAATGCATTCAATTCTGGGCATGCTGATTTTGGAGTATAAGTGGGAATAGCTAAGTGATGGCATATAGTAGGCAGGTGGACATCCTGGGTCTGGATTTCAGAGATCTGAGTTAAGAACGTAGTTTTTGGTGAGAAGAAAATGGAGCTGTAGGAGCAGGCCGAACCCTTCGGTATGGATAAAGTTACCTAGAAGAGTATACTACTGTTTGAAGAGAGAAGGTGCCAAGGATAGAACTCTAGAACACCAACATTCAAGGGGCCAGGGCCAGTATAATAGCTTGCAGAGGAAATGGGAAAATTATTCTGAACACTGATTCTTTGGTCTGTTTTCAGTCACACAGATAAGTTGTGTTAAATTTTTTATTGTTTGAGATACAGATCTCAAAAGTTTTAGAAGAAATTAGGGAGTTTAGTGCTTTCCATTTTATTTTGGCATTTGAAACTGTGTTAATGATTTTGATGATTTAATTATCTACCACTTAGCTAATCCACACATGATTTTGTAGTTCTGCTTAAGTAGAATTTATTATATATTACATGTTATTTATATGTATTTCCAGTGGATTCATGGTTTCTGATTAGGAATTTCCTAATACATTCTGACTTATGACCTCAGTCATCTTTAGCTTTGTTATCAGCCTAGAGAGTATTAAAAAAAAAACATGGGATTTGGAGTAAAAAAGATGAAAGTCAATTCCCTAATTTTACTATTTACTACACATATGATAGTGAGCTAAATTTATGTACCCTCTCTGAGCCTCAGGGTAACTTGCTCAGAACACAAAGCTATTAGGTGTCAGGTTATAGGATTTAATCACACGTCTGCCAGTCTCCCATGTATATGCTCTTCACCTCTGTGCCCTACTCCCACCTCTAAGCTAAACTCACAGTTATTCACTTATTTACTGTTTGCATGAGTGATGGTGGGGTGGTTTCCTTCTTCCTGA